GAAAACTCATTCCTTCCATGACTTCCAGATTCATACAAGATATGTACAATCCAAGGTGTCGTGGAAGGAATGTGGATATCCATAGGTTACATGTTAAAAAATTCGTTTTTGAATAGCCGGGTTATCCCGGGAAAATCCTATATTTTCCCTAAAGGTTGATGATTGATTATCCGTTCTAAACTGAGGTGTACAAGTATCTACCATACTTATATCGATAAAAGCAGTTTTCTTTTAAAAACCCTAGTTACACCCAGTGGGGTATATTAACCTTATTACATAAATAAAACTAAATAAAAGAAAACTGGATGAACTAAATCCTGAAGGTATTATTAATACCTTCCAGTAATCCATCGGTTATTACTTTGAGGTTAGTTCACTTGATTCATTATTACAAAAGTAAATCCCTGCTATATAGGTTGTGAGTTTTATAACCATACATTAACTTGATATGGCACGTATCGGGGCCAGTATCCTTTATGACTTTGTCACCCGTAGACCTGCCGGTCCAACTGTAGCTAGCAGCGAGGTGCGGGATAGTCAGTCCCGTATAGATCTATACACAACAATCACGCTCTCCCTACAAGAGATTCTGGTTACAAGTGCTAGTCCTACACTCTGATTCTGTGGGAGTGTTACCAAGGACGTGTCTCCAACTTAGACTAACAAATTTACAAGTAATAATATAGAAAATCCTTTTGTGATTAACATGAATCCTTTATAAAACGATACATTTTACTACATGGTTCATAAGTTCATTGCTGTAGTTTTGAAAACTGTTTCTACGAGTTGATTTGTTAATCGTTTGGTAAAACTGTTTTCCGTGTTAAAAGCATTCTGAAAATATAATTATCTTAAACAAAATAATATATTTTGAGCACAGGTTTCCTTGTACTTTTGCTTGTATTCCCCCCCCCCCCTGAAAACATGAAAAACTCGGAAAAGCGTAGGGGTATGAACTCACCTCGGGCGATTCGAATGAAGGATTGATACGAAATGCGGGATGTTTAAGTGAAGCCTTGAACACGATTTGATCCTAATTAACATGTAATGACACATAAAGGAGTCAATTGAAGGTATTTCACCACTAGATGTGATGGAGAACCACTCTAGGGACTTGGAGCTACTTGCACTAAGTGTTAGGACCTTAAAGGATTTCATGAGGGAGGTGTATGGCCACCTTGAAGGTGTGTGCGGCCATGGGTGTGCGGCTCAATGGGTGTGCGGTCGTACACTCATGTTGGAAAGGGTCTTTGAGGTGTTTCAAGGTCCATTCTTGCATCCATGAAGTGTTCTAGGTCCATACTAAGTTGTAGTACAAGTTTAGGGTCTTAGAAAGTGAGTTTGTGGTCCTAAGGTGTGTGTGTGGTTTCACACGGGAGTGTGTGTTCGCACACTTGGGTGTGTGGTCATACACTTGAGTGTGTGGCCGCACACTTGAGTGTGTGGTCGCACACTTGAGTGTGTGGTCGTACACCCAACAAGATAATGTCCAAAATGCCAAATCTAGGGTGTAGCAAAGCTAGGTTCATGTCCAACTCGAAGATGGAAGTCCAACTCTCACTTTGGAGGGTCTTTTAGGAGTGTGCGGCCACCTTAAGGGGGTGTGCGGCCGCACTCCTTCAAAGAGTGAAGAACATGATGAAACTTGATGAATCAAGGCTTAGATGAAGTGGTTCTTCAAGTACAACAAGCTAAGGGATGGATTACTCACGTTTTTGAAGCCTTGGGAGGGTTTGCGGTTGAAGAGTCTTGAGAGAAAAGGTGCTGTGTGCTGCCATGATGTTAAAGGAATGAAAGGAAAGGGTTCTACCCTTTATATAGGGTGGGTATGCTGCCATATGGGGGGTGTGCGGCCGCACACCCATGTGTATGGCCGTACACTCCTCTTGAAGGTGTGTATGGCCCAGTTTTGTCACCCTATGGTTTGCTGACTCATTCCTAACCTCAACCTTGGCTATACTCAAGCTTAGAACGCTTAAATGGACCCTTAAACAGTACAAGAAGTTATCAGAAACGAGATTAATGTAGATTAACTGACTAGATATACCAGGTGAAAGTTTCGGGTTGCCACAAAATCTGTGGATCTCGGGTTATGAGTTGAGTATCGGGTTGGTTTTTGGGTGAGATCTCGAGTTGGGAATCGTGAGTGTTTATGTGCAGGATTTTCTTTTCAGTGAGATAAGAATTGGGGTATCTATATGCCGATGGCATCAATCGAAGGTTTCAAGGGTAAGGAATGGATTCAGTTTTGATGATAGATCAAGCCATTGTGATTGTGTCTTGGAGTAGTTCTATCTGTGAATGGCATTAAGATAAGTCAAGACGGTATTATTAATTTGGAACTCGTGTGTGGAGTCGCTTGTTATTCAGAGAATATGTTAGGTCACTTGCAGTTTGGGTTAAATAATCTCAGAGTAAAAGATTTGACCCTGTTGCGTAGCTCTCGTCTGATTCTAACCGTTGCAGGGATGACTCTTCTACTCGAAGGATTATCTGAGTCTTCTATCAAGTAAAAGTGTTCTGCAACAATAATTGGTATGTGATTCTGTTTTCTAGTGGGAACCTCAAGTTATCAGAAGTTGAGTAGTCAGTTGGGAGATAAGTGGAATGGATTTAGAAATGGTTCAATATGGGAGGTCTGTCAAGGAGTCAAACAATCTCGAGACTTCAGATTTCAGAGTAAATAGACATGGTTATTTCGCAAGGGATTATCTTCAGGTGGAGAAAGGATTCGTTCATCTTCGGGTTGGAGAGCCCTGCTAGGGTTGGTTTCAATTTCCATGGAAAGGTTGTGGTATGCTCGAGATTGTGGTTGTGTTGCACAGGGTGCCGGGAGTGCCGGGAATGGTAAGGAATGATTTCGAGGACGAAATCTAATTTAAGTATGGGAGAGTTTTAAAGCCCTGCTTCGAATCGTTTCCCATTTCAGGGTGGTGATCAAGGAGTGGGTATTAGCAGACTTAGGACCCTTGAAGAATTGAGATTTGGACTCATTTGGGGGTGGATGATGTATTTTGGATGATCCAGGTATTCGGTTTGTGTTTTGGAGCCAAAGGGTATTTTGGTAGTATGCCAACTCGGGCTTTTATGGATATTGGATTTTTTTTGGGATATGGTAAGGCAGGCACGAGTTGATTAAAGTGTAGAGCATCTTATTACCTTTTCATGGATATAAAGATCGTCAGAATCGGATTTATAACGAAGAAGTTATGGCCTTCGGAGTGCTTTAGGGTTTAAGAGGAAACCCTAGCATGCGAGCGTACCTAGGGAGTACGCGGGGCGTATTGTGGCATACTCTTAGCATACTGCGAGGGATGGATTGAGGGTGCGAAACCTCGTACATTGGGCGTACGAGGGGTAAATGAAAACCCTAATTTATGATGGTGTACCCTATATAAGCACTTTAAGTCTTTAGGGTTGGCCTATTTACTAGTCCCTAAAACCCTATAAATCATCCCTTAGCCTCTTTGGTGGTGTTTTTGAGCTCATTGTGTGCATCTTGGTGTGTTTTGGTTCATATTCAAGAAGATGGAGTTTAGTGTAAGGTTGTGGATCAAGGAAGAGCTTGTGGATCCTGATTCTCTACTTCATTTCTAGCTTTTTTGAGGTAAAAAGCTATGAACTTGTTCATAAATGTCTTATATCTATTATAGATGAGTTTTGATTCATTTTTGGCCCCAAGAATGAGATCTAATGGTTTGATACCACTCCAGTAGCTATGAGTTGCCACTCTTGGTGTTTCTGAGGTTCTATATTCATAAAGTTGTCTCCTTTAGGGTTTGGAATCCCCCAGGCACGAGATTGTGTCCTTTTGGTGGAAGTATAATGCTATATCTTGAAGTTGGGTTCTTTTGGGGCATGCAAAGTCACTAAGTTAGTGGCTTTATGGTTCTCGACTCTTATTAGGACTCAAATATGTGGTTTGGACTTCTGGACTTAAGCATTAAGAGCTTAATGGAGATTTTTGGCCTAATGGATGAGTACGTTGGGCGTACAAGTCTGTACACGCAGCGTACAAGCCAAATAGCGTGTACGCTTAGCATATAGATGAGTACGCCCCGCGTACTCAGTCATGTGAGATTTTGCATTTTGGGCTTCAATTTTGGGCTTGGGTGTTTGAGTTCTTAATGGGCCATTTGGGTACAAGTGTTTTGGGCTAGGAAAATGGTTGGGCTTTAGGGTAAGGGCCATGTAAGGGGTTTGGGCCAAATTTAGAAAGTTGGGCCATAATTGGGCTTTGGTTGATTAATTGGCTTTTGGGTCTTTTAGATTGTGAGTTTGGGTATTAGTCTTGGACCAAACTAGGTTAGGCCTAATAAAAGAGGAATTTGAGTTTTGATTTCATTTTAAATGAAAGTGAACATTTATGTGAAAAAAACAAATGGTATTTTAGTCTTTTCACAAAAACACTTAACAAAAATTTGTTAAAAAAGTTAATTGTATGCAATGTTTGCGCATAGGGCTGTAAACGAAATGAATGTTCAACGAATTGTTCGTGAACCGTTCGACGGGAAGTTCGTTTATTTAATAAATGAACGAACATGAACACAAATTCTTATTCGTTTAGTTAAACGAACGAACATGAACAATGGTCTCGTTCGTTCAATTATGTCCGTGAACGTTCGTTTATGTTCATATATAATTAATTGTGTTTGATTACATTACTATATTATATATTTATTTATGTTCATATATGTTTGTTTATCATTGTTCGTTTAGCATGTTCACAAACATAAACGAACGAACATGAACAATGTAATTTGTTAAACGAACGAACATGAACAAGAAAACTCGTTCGTTTACCTGTTCGTATTCGTTCATTTGTTCGGTTAACTTAAACGAACGAACATGAACAAGTCTCGTTCGTGTTCGTTTGGTTCGTTTACAGTCTAATGTGGGCATATGTACCAGAAAGATTGAAAAGCAGTAGGACCATTTATGAAAATATGTAAAAAGATAATAACCATACGGTGATATTTAGGCTGTCATTTCGGTATATCATCTTTTTGAAACTCTATATTTGCAGCCAAAAGCCCACACGCCATGGATGTCGACGACGACAATGAACTTCTGATCCTCCTCTCCGACTCCGACGAACGCGGTTCCGACCTTGATTTGGCCTTCCAACTGCAAATGCAAGAGGCGATCAAAGTCTCTTCATCCTCTAAACCTTCTTCATCGTCGTCTTTCTACTTCCCCCTAAACGAAACTCAAGAGTCCCCTTCCGGCACTGCTCGAAATTCTGTCAAGCGTGAGCGCGAACGTTACTATCGGGAGTTGGTCAGCGCGGAATTGAAGAACATGAATGAGAATCCCAACCGACTGATACACGATCAGCCCTTCGCTCGCCAGATTCTTGACGTTCCGGATGTTGACTTGACGATGACCGGGGATTTCTTTCAGAAGCCGTACGCGTTGTTGCAGTCGTCGAACGAGGAGGTTTTTACGGTTTATTTCAGGGGTTTAGTGATCGATGAGTCGGTTATGAATGTTAAAATGTCGTTCGCTGGGATTGGGGTTGCGATTTATGATGAGTCCGATTGTTGTGTATTTGAGTCGAGGAAATCCTTTTTGGTTGGTGGAACTGAAGGTGAAGATGATGCTGTTTTAGAGCTTACAGCTTTGATTGAAGCGCTGAATTCTGCTGTTACTCTTGGGTTAAAACGAGTTCAAATTTCCTGCAACTGCCTTTCGATTTATCAGTATGTAAGTCTCCACATTCATGAAATCTGAATCGTTTTTCTCATGTAAGCTTCTATACATCCAATTTTAGGGTTTTTCTTTTTCCATCTTATGTTCGAAAATCTGCAGCTCATTGGTGAACGGAGACCAACAGACAACAAGGTTATGACATTGATCAATCATCTGAACCATATGGAGACAAAATTTGCTTATTGCTGCCCTATTCTCGTGAAGCAAAACAATTTGGCATTTGCTTATCATCTTGCAAAAGATGCAATTCTTTCTCACGCCACCAAATTAGCAGAAAACGAATCGAGGAAAACATTACTTGAACAATGCACAATCTGTTTTGAATCCACCTACATTGGCCAAATGTTTTCTGTCAACAAATGTCTACACAGATACTGTTTTTCCTGTATGAGAAAGCATGTAGAAGCAAAGTTACATCAAGGGAAGCTACCCGAATGTCCACATGAAGAATGCAAATCTGAGCTTGAAATTGAAACCTGCAAAAGTTTCTTGAATCCAAAACTATATGATATGATGAGCTCAATGATAAAAGAAGCTTCCATTCCTCCATCAGAGAAAGTTTATTGCCCAGTTTCTAGTTGCTCTGCTTTGATGTCAAAAACCGAGCTCCAACAACAAGCTCCCACCTCATCTTCTTCTTCTTCTTCTTCTTCTTCTTCTTCTTCTCAAGAATCTGGAAAGAGAAAATGTGTGAAATGTCATCGTCTTTTTTGCATGAATTGCAATGTAGCTTGGCATGATAATATGAGTTGCTGTGATTACATCGAGTCTTTTGAGTATAAATCTGCTAATGAGGCAAAACTGAAGTCGCTTGCATCAAGTAAAAGCTGGCGTCAGTGTGTCAAGTGCAAGAATCTGGTTGAATTAGCAGCAGGGTGCTTCCATATTTGTTGCAGGTATATATTATATTTATGCTACAAAGAAACCATATTATTAAATATAATTATTATATTTTCTTGTTTTATATTCATGAAATTAATTAACTATTGCAGATGTGGATATGAGTTTTGCTATACGTGTGGAGCTGAATGGATTGAGAAGAAACCTACATGCACATGTCCACTTTGGGATGAACGCTATATTATATATGTGGAGTAAATAGGTCACAAAATTGAGGTAAGTAATTTGACTCAAATTTTCCTTTTTATGTTCTTTTGGTGTTTTGAAAGCTATAAATGTTGATAATATTGGTGGTATTTTTGTATGGTTATTACAAAAGAGATTTCACCATTTTTAGGGGAAAAGATTTTGCTATTTGTTTGTGGTTTTGGAAAATTTGGAGTTGATAATTAACCATGGTTAAATTAAATATGAATGAACATATGGTTATAGCTATTTATTATGGTGAGGTGATATTTCTAACTTTTCACTTATGTTTTTGATTCATATGCTTAAAAACAAATTGATTTTATAAAAGTCAAATCACTACTATTCAATCTAACAAACTTATAATTTTTGTTATTTTATGTGAATAGTGTGCATGAAATGATAAAAGATAGTAAGTTCATTACGTTTAAATTTTATATAAAATTAATGATAGTTTGTTTCATTGAATGGTTAAAAAACATGTTGTATGGATTTTAAGTGTTATTTATTTATTTATTGCGTTGTAGATGTTTGTCGTTTTGTGATGACTATGAAGTGAATGAAACCAAGTACCTAGTACAAAAAGTGCATGCAGTTAACAACATATTATAAAATAAAATAAATTAAAGTAGCATTGTTCATAGTCCGACCCATATTAAAAACATTTAAATGCAAAGAACATAACATGAAAACACTTTACAATCATTTCACCCTAGCTTGAGGAAGAAGCTTTCATGTTTATCTTCCCAATTGCATTTTTTCTTCCCAACTTTATTAGAATTTGTCAATTTATTAACAACTGCATTTTTCAATTTATGGTTTCTGTTTTCAATTTATTATTTGTGGTAAAGTTCATCCAAGAAAATATTGTAACACGACAACAGAGACGTCGCAGCCTTGTCTTATAGAAATTTAAAAAGAACTTCAAAGAGTCTTGTACTTTCCAATATTCATTTGGATCCAATGAAATGTAATTCGTCATCATCTAGCTTTAGGCAATCTTCAACCTCAAAGATAGATCAGTTGTATGAATAACATATATCCCCGAGGCTCTAAAATTTTCATATCCCAACTAAATAATGTCACCACTAAAATTAACATAAAAAACTAATTAATTGTTATCAATCAATCTTCTATGATATATGAATATCAACTAAGCAATATTGTATAGGTTTATATTTGTAGGAGTACGTGAGACTAACATATGCTACCAGCCAACGACTAATAACATGCAAACCTATATAGTAGGTAAAATTATAAAGAACTTAAATACAAATAAGACTAACGAGTGTCTCTATTAGAATTAACATCCTATTTTGATGAACCAATTAAGTACCCATTAGTTAGAAAACGTTTTGAGTTGTCAGTATTCAAATGATAAAATTGAAAAATATGAAAGTTTCTAGTGAATATAATTTAAGATAAAAATATTTATGTTGAACAAACAATAACTCTATTATAATAGATATGAGGTGTATTCGGCAAAACTAACGGGTAGATGGTAGTTGATAGTGTTTTTTTAAACGCCACCGGATATAACTTTTAGATTTGAAACGTTTTGTTTAAATTAAATGTAGTGCAAAACATGGTTTTTTGTTCAAAACGGAACATTTTGTCAAACAATAGAAACTAAAAACTCTCAAACGTTTTGTGCCATACACGCCTATAGAAACATACCCGAAACATTTAAATATAATATTGTAATTTTTTCGTCATTTTATGTACATTTCTCATAGCATTATATCAATTAGTTAATAAATAAATATTAGATGGATTACATAATTGTATTAAAACGTTTAATTTTTTTTTTCTCGCTTTTCATTTAGCTCTTAGGTATCTCCAATTAAAGGTGGCGTGGTGGGGGTTTTTGACTAAAATCCCACAAAAACCGCATAGATCAATTTTTAGTTTGTTAAAAACGTATAGTTTGGTTTTTGTGTTTGGTGCAGTTTGCGATGTTACTTGCGGAATGCTTTCTATGTGTTTTGATTCACTTTATAAAAGGTATTATGCTGTTTTTACATTGGCGCCATTTAGAAATTACAAAACCAATAGACTATAGGCATATTTCTTTGAAATTATAATAAGTCGAACATAAATGTAAAACATCTTTGTGGGAGTTAGTGGTTAAGTTGCTAGTGATGAACAAAACATATTTAAGACGATTTAAAATAATAATTTGTTATATATATATATATATATATATATATATATATATATATATATATATATATATATATATATATATATATATATATATATATATATATACACACTAGATGTGAAACCCGTGTATTATACGGGTTTATAAAAAAAAGTTTAGTATAAAATTATAAGCATTACATATTTTTTAAAGTAATAATTTTACATAAATACAAAGAATATAATAAATAAAGTAAATAATTTAATATATAATGTAAGATATTTGAAAGGTTGTAGAACATTTATTATGAAATTTAATAGAATGATCTACTTTCCATATATAAATCTCATTAAAATGTGGATTTTAAATTTAAGAAAATGAAAAATACAAGAAAATGACAAGTGGAAAAAAATAATTCAAAAACTCTTAGAAAATGACCTGTATCAAATTCAATGAAAACATGACATTTGACAAAATTGATTTTCATTTATTAGGTTATATATATATATATATATATATATATATATATATATATATATATATATATATATATATATATATATATATTATATATATATATATATATATATATATATATATATAGGGAAAAGTTCAATAGAGAACCATAATTATTGGTTCTTCAAGGAACCAAATCTTTTTTTTCAATTTCTAGAGCTTATTCTTTATCGAAAAAAAAATCTAAAAATATCTAAATTCATATATTAACATTGTGAATTTGAAAAATATTTTTCGGATTCACCGTGTGAATCCGGATTCACATTGTGAATTTTCAAAGATTCACATTGTGAATTTGACGTAAAAAAAAATCGAATTTGATATCATTGGAAAAAGGATAAAAAGTTATGAATTTCTGTATTTTTAGTTTTTTTTGATAAAAAATAAGTTCTAAAAGTTGAAAAAAAGATTGGTTCCTTGGTTAATTATGGTTCTCTGTTGAACCTCACCCTCTATATATATATATATATATATATATATATATATATATATATATATATATATATATATATATATATATATATTAGTTTGAAACCAAAATTTCAATAAATTTTGTGAATATCTCAAAATAATGACCAAAATAGATTGTTATTATAAATGTATTTTATAATAACTTCTAGAAGCTTGAAGATTTAAAAATGGGTTGTTTAAATGTATTCTTTAAATTTTAAAAACTAGGTATAAGACCCATGTATTATGTGAGTTAATTAAAAAAAATTAAATATAAAGGTCTAAATATTTAAGAACTTTAGATTTATAAAAAAATAATGAATTATTAAAATTGATTTTTTTTATCTTTTTAATTTAAATAAATAAACAAAATAAACTAATGAACTTTAATTTGGAAATGTTGAATAATAAGATAAATCAATTAATGAAATTGATATTCACTTATTATTACATTTATTGTATTATTACATTAAAGTATTATGTTCAATTTATTAAAAAAAAACCCATGAAATAACATGTGGAAAAAAAATTAATTCAAAATAACCACAAAATGACATTTGACAAATTGAATGAGAGTTTGACATGTGCAAAAAAAAAACTTTTATTTATTAGAGAGGCCTAGGTGTGATACTCGTGTATTACACGAGTTTATTAAAAATAAAAATTTAATATGAATATATATATAAACATTAAATAATTTATAAAATAATGTTTTTCCATAACAAAATGTAATCTTTTGGAACATTTATGAAAGAAATCAAATCGTTTGGAGCATTTATGAAAATTTATTATCAAATTAATAGAATGATAACCTTACATATATATAAACCCATTAGATTTTTTTGGAAATTTATTTTAAGAAAATTAAAATCCCCAAAAAATGACAAATGAAAAATAACAATTTTAAAATTCTTAAAAAATAACATGTGTTAAAATGAAGAAGATGACAAATAACAAAAATATTTTCATTTGTGAGGGGGATTGAGGCAAGTCATTAACTATAACCAAGCCATTTTTATATTGCCCACATTCCATTAATAAAGTTGTTCCTCTTAAAACTCAGAGCAAATGGCAATGCCATAGAAGGTTTTCTTTCTACAGATTTATTGTTATTTATAAACCTTTGCTTATGTTGCGGACTTAAAGTTGAAAATGAAATATTGCTTTTTATCTTCATTTTAGTTAAAAATAATTAATAAAGCACAAAAAGCAATATTTTTTATAAATATTAAATAGGTAATATAGATTTTTTTATATATTTAAAAAATTATATAGTGCCGTTTTTGGTATGTGGTTTTTACGAATGGTGTGGTCGATATATAATACAAAATCAAATTGTACCACAAATACTCGGTTTTTGTAAAATAAAAAATCACACCATCTTTTATTTGTTCGGTTTCGTTTTTTTCTCAATTTTTACGGTTCATAGTTAGTTTTTGCTTACCCTATCTCCTAGGGGTGTTCAAAAATATCTGTATCCGAAATTCCGGAATTCCGAATCCGAATTATCCGAAAAATCGGATATCCGAATTTTCGGATATCCGATTTTTCGGAATCGGAATTGGATAGTGTTTTTCAGATTTTTCGGATAATTCGAATATCCGATATCCGAAAATTTTGATTTTAGTTTATACATTATTTGTTATTTTAATCACATATGCATTATAATATGAATGTTAGTAACTAAAACATATTCATAATACCCTTAATTAAATAAATATATTACTTCATATGCCTTTCTTATTTAAAAATATGTCTTTCTAATATTAAACCTTTCAAATTTGAACAAAATTTCAAATTTTCGGATAGTTGGTTTTTGGTATCCGAATCCGTATCCGAAATTTCGGATATCCGAAACTTCGGATATCCGAAATTTCGGATACGGAATCGGATACCAAAAACCAACTATCCGAAATTCGGATATCCGAATTTTCGGATATCCGGTTATGAACACCCTGAGTATCTCCAACCCAACTACATTTTCGGTGTTAATACTATATTTTCATATAAAAATAATGTAAAACATCTCCTACCCTACTATATTTTTATGCAAAAAATAGTGTTATAATAGTTCTAATATTATATTAATATTAATCTAATAATTAGAAAAACCAGACCCAAATCCTCCAAGATAATTAAATATTGTCCAAACAATGATGAATGAATATACCCGATTTCATCAATTTTTTGTTCAATATAAACATATCAAAAGAAAAAACGACAATAGTCACCTAAGTCTACAAAATGTGTTAATTGATTGTTTGTAGAAAAAAGTTGATTTAACAAATACGTGTGTTGGGTCAAATAGAGATGGAGAAATTGACAAGAAATTTAGTTGGGTAAAATGAGACCATGTCATGAGATCGAAGGAGAAAGGTGTCGAAAGTAAGCGTTTAATTATGCTCTTTTAGAAGAATGGCGATGGATATTTCACACGACTAATGATTCTTTATGGATGAAGCTTATAAAAAGTATACATGGTCAATGTGGTTGTGCTCTTTTACAATAAATGCTTATAAAATTTTCATATCCAAAGACTTAAAACAACCACCATAAATCAATAAGCACTTCAAATAAACAATCCCAAACATTCTGTGAGTATAGAATATATCTAATTCACTTTACATATTAGACTTTAGAATGAAAAAATAACGATGATCAAACAAAAAAAATATAATATTAGACTTTTGAATATATACTTATATGCATATGCAAATTGAGCTATGCATATACAAAAAAGTACTCCCTTCGTCCCAAAATTATTGTCCACAGACAAAAAACACATAGATTAAGAAAAACAATCATTAGTTTTGTCTTTTTGAGTAAAATGACCCTCTTGCCCTTTTTTAAAACCAATGGGAAATGTGCGTTTGTAATTATTCAAGTTTACTTTATTAAATGTTAGGGGTAATATGATAAAAGTGTATATCTACTTTTGGTAGTGGACAATAATTTTGGGACAAACTAAAATAGTAAGGTGGACAATAATATTGGGACGGAGGGAGTATGTTTTTTGTATTTCTTTAAGCAAATCATCTAAATGGTCTTTGTGGTGTTTTTATTTAATAATATTGTAAAGATTCTACATTTTTGTCTTTTTCAGTTTTAAAAATTAAAGTCAAGACTTTTGGTAAGTAAGGCCCAAGTTTATGGAGTTTTCTGAAGAATTCCATATTTCCTAACATGTATGTGTGATGTTTTCTTTCAAAAATACGTATAAATTTCTATAAATGAATGGATAACATTTATTTTAATGTGTTATGCATGAAATTCTATTATTTAATAAAATGTTTGTTTTAAGAACGTCACAAGTAATTCGAATTATTAATATATGATTTACTTGTTTGGACATAGTCATTTAATAATATAATTTCCAAAGTTATTACAACAAAAGGATTTAACACAAATTGTAAAAAGACAATAGAACATACTTGGAATATATTCTTTTTAGTATAAAAACATATTAAATACGTAGACAAATAGCCTTTTGCACCATTTTTAGTTCAAAACATCGGTGATATGGTTTGGACATGGTCTTAAAAGTAACCAATATGTCAAAACCCAAAAAAATGGCAAAACATTTTTCCATAAAAGTTGTGGGATCTACATCTTACTCTAAACAAACCACCTATATATATATATATATATATATATATATATATATATATATATATATATATATATATATTGAGTATTGACATCTGCAACAGTTAAATCCTTTCAGAAGCACCAAAAAGATGATTAAGAAGAAAAAACCTGATCCATCACATCATCGATATATGATGTTCCCCTCATCCCAAATTGGACATCTGCAAGTTGCTTTCTTCTGAATCCATTCAGCTCCACACGTATAGCAAAACTCATATCCACATCTGCAATTCCATTCTTCCAAATTAATTATGATAATTTAAAGTAGGTAAGGTAATTCCAGTTATATAGAAAATGATACCTGCAATAAATGTGATAGCAACCTGCTGCCAATTCAACCAAATTCCTGCACTTGACACACTGACGCCAACGTTTCCTTGTAGCAAGTGACTTGAGTTTTGCCTCATTTTCAGGTTGCTTGTAGTTAGAGCAATTAATGTTATAATGCCAAGGTGCATTGCAATTGATACAAAAGAGGCGAAGACATTTCCCACATCTTCTCATTCCAGCTTCTAGGGCAACACGTGAGAAATTAGCAGCAAGTTCTTGGACCTCTGTTTTAGACATTAAAGCAGAGCAACTAGAAATTGGGCAATACACTTTCTCTGATGGAGGAATAGAAGCTTCTTTTATCACTGAGCTCATTATATCATATAGTTTCGGTTCCAAGAACTTCTTGCAACTCTCGATTTCAAGCTCAGATTTGCAGCTTTCATGTGGACATTCGGGTAGCTTCCCTTGATGCAACTTTGCTTCTACATGCTTTCTCATACAGGAAAAACAGTATCTGTGCTCACACTTGTTGATAGAAAATATCTGAGCGATGTAGGTGGATTCGAAACAGATTGTACATTCTTCCAGTAATGTCTTCCCAGAATTGTTTTCTACAAATTTGTTGGCCTGAGAAACTATTGCATCTCTTGCAAGTTGACAAGCAAACTTTACATTGTTTTGAGTCACAAGGAATGGGCTGCAGTGAGCAAATTTTCTCTGAATAAGGTTCAGCTCATCAATCAATGTCACAATCTTGTTGTTTGTTGTGTGTCCTTTACCAGTGAGCTGTATTGCCAAACATAACATCAATTCCATAGTAAGTCAAGGAAAACAGTTTAATAATTTACACAAGCAGTGTTATTGTGGAAAACATAGACACTTACATGTCGATAAACAGAATTGCTATCGCAGAAGATATGAACTCGTTTTATCCCAAGTGTAACAGCAGCATTCAGCGCTTCAATCAAAGCTTTAAGCTCTACCAGATCACCGTCACCTTCGTTTCCACCAAGCAAATAGGGTTTCCGCAACTCAAATACACAACAATCGCTTGTATCACAAATCGCGACTCCAATCCCAGCAAACGGCATTTTCACATTCATAACCGTCTCATCACTCACCAAACCCTTGACATATATCCTAAAAACCTCCTCATTCGACGAAGGCAACAATCCGTAGGGTTTCTCAATGTAATCTCCAGTTCTTATCCACTCAGCCTCAGGAACGTCAAGTATCTGGCGAGCGAAGACCTGATCGTGTATCAGACGGTTGAGATTCTCCTTCATGTTTCTCGTTTCCGCTTCGACTAACTCCCGGTCGTTGCGTTCGAGCTCAAACTTGTCGATTTCTTCCGCGATGAGATGAGCGATGCCGGCAGGGGAATCTGTGACTTCGCTTAGGAGGAGCAAAGGTTGGTGAGAAGAAGACGAGGAGGAGGAGGAAGAAGGTTGAGAGGCCGAAGAGACTTTGATCGCCTCTTGCATTTGCAGCTGGAAGGCGAAATCAAGGTCGAAATCGGCGGCAATAGCGGCCGTGAGTTCACGGCGTTGCTCGGATAGGAGGATCAGAAGTTCAGTGTCGTCGTCGACGTCCTCCATGCTGTGGTGTGGGTTATCGTATTGGCTCCAAAACGAGAGTTTCAAAGAGATGATAATGAAATATCTCTGCTCCTAAAAAATCACCGCCGCCATTGTACGGTTACTTTTCCCTTCTTCTATACATTTTTTTTACCGTGGATTTCCGGCCCAATGCAAACGGACCGGTCGTGGGTTGGGTCACGACTCACGAAGACCAGGTCAAAGTTGTGTTAAAAATAAAAAGGACGAGTGGTCCGAATGTATTTATATTTTATAAATAATATTAATTGAAAATGATTTTATTATTTAGAAATTGATTCATATATATAAAATATAATACACAGATATATAGGTAGTTGTACAAATCATTGAATGAAGTATATATTTTATTGTATACTTTTATAAAGCATCAATTATTATGTATCAATGTTATGTACAAATAAGCTTCTCATCTAAAAAACCACTAAAAATCTACTTGACTAGTTTACATGTTTATGCACTTACCATTTGAATGTAAATTAACTGGATATTGATGGGTGTTTGAATTTACATTTAATTGTTTAGTGAGAATTGATTTTAATTTTGATTATTTTTTATTTTAGAGAATGGTAATTAGACGTGAAAAAAATATCAACTTAATCGTTTAGAAAAGTTCATTTAATCATAAATAAGAAATAATTTTAGTTCTTCAAAATAAGAATTAATTAATTATATATATATATATATATATATCTATATATATATATATATATATATATATATCTTATATTATGATTTTTTCTAAAAAACATTTCCAAAAAAAAAAAATTATATCATATTTTATTTTAAAAGTTTTTAAATAAATATTGTTAAAAATGATATAATATAAATAAGATGATTTAAACTATTTATTATAAAAATATATTACGACTCAACGTATTTATGGTCTTTAATTTATTATGGTTTAAAAATGTTATGATATATGATCTTGAGTCAAAATTCCATGATTTAAAGAATGTTATTGTCCAAATTATGTTACGAGACGAAAAATTGATTTTGTTGAAAATGCTATGATCCTAAATTATAGGGTTAATGTCATTTTTTCACAAAAAGTGTATGTTTTGTAGTATAGGTGCTTAAATTTGGTATTTACGTTTTAAAAAAAAGGGAGAATTTCGTATATGCCATTCCTAAACACCTAAATATCGTATTTGCCCGGCCTAAACTACAAATATCGTATTTGCCCTTCCTAATGTTTTTTAATATCATATGTACCCAAATCAATTATTTTGGTAATTTTTTTTATTTATAATTGTTTTTCACAATATTAAATCATTATAATTAAAATACAATTTGGATGGACAATATTACCCTTGCTACTTGGTAACAGATCACAGTTTCCCCAAATCAACACCTTATCGCGATCGAGCCTGATCGACCCTTCCCTCCCTGATACTTCCGATCTTTGCGGTCATTCTCTGCTTACAATCACTCGCTAGTCCAATCGACTGCTTCCCCAGTTGTAGCACAAACACACACGCATATCATTGCGTCCAATATCTGCTTCAAATAAGTCGCTGCTTTCAATCAGTGCTTCCGTTGTTGTTGCCCAAACACACGCATCAGGTAAATAAAATGCTAATCCATTCCCTTTCCTCAATTTCGATTCTGTTGTTGTTTGATTTGTTCATACGAGCAGTCTAGCTTAGTTACTTTACAAAAATTCTGTCATCTTTGACTATCAAATTCCAAGGAACAGATTAATATTTCCCCTTTCTCCAGCTCGAAATCAGCCAATTGGGTGCATTTGTTTGGTACCTGAAAGATCTTGATAAATTGATTAATTGAACCATTTTGGATACACAGGCCTTTGAGGTCTTTTGTTTAGGTCAGTTTCTACTTTCTAACCTTAGAGGGTATGTAATAACTGAGCCAGGTTAGGTAATGGGTCAAGATTATCCTGGTAAAATACAATTACAAAAGCTAATATTAAAAAAATGAACCATTTTTATCAAAAAATACTTTTGGGCAACTTTCAAACTCATCTAAAATTTCTGTTTCAGGAGTTATATCAGGTGCTCTTCTATACATTCGTGACGAAATTGAAGCATCAGTTGGAGAAATGATTGGAGTTGCAGAGAATGGTCGATGATCGGAAGTATCAGGCAGGGCTCGATCGTCGATCGTGATTTTGTGATAGATGGGGGAAAACGTGATCTGTTACCAAGTAGCAAGGGTAATATTGTCCATCCAAATTGTATTTTAATTATAATGATTTAATATTGTGAAAAACAATTATAAATAAAAAAAATTACCAAAATAATTGATTTGGGTACATATGATATTAAAAAACATTAGGAAGGGCAAATACGATATTTGTAGTTTAGGCCGGGCAAATACGATATTTAGGTGTTTAGGAAGGGCATATACGAAATTCTCCCTAAAAAAGACACCGGTACGAGGAAAATAAAGGGGTGAATCGGTCACCCTTCATACATGGTCTCCTAGTTGGCTTGTTTTTGCCATGTTTGTAAGTCAAAACCTTATTAATTAACATCACAATTGAACTGCTCAACAAAAAAAAAAAAAAAAAAATCCTCTCAAACCATTCAATACGTGCTTGAAACTACGGACGAGAACAACAAATTCTAGGTATAATTTTGATGCTCTTGTACCTACAAGTAGAACATCACTACCAATGAGTATTTATTCGATACCCTTTTGCATATACTGAAGACAAAAATCCATCTTCCAAAAGATGTAGACTTTGATGGTTTGGATTTCAATGAATGTTTAACTTTTCTTGAAAGGCTAAACAAGAAAGTTGTTTAAAGCTTTATTATTATATGCCTAATATTTGTTTGAGAACAGGTTTAAGATTAATTAAAAATGAACATGATTATACCGACTTTATCGCGATTATGTAATAGTAGTGAGGAATGTAACATTTCTATGTATATGGCCCACTTTAGGACATATTTAGAAGAATGGTTTTGTTGAAAAAGAAACCAAACTAATATTTTTGCAACTCCAAATGACCACCAATATGGTGTTGTGGGTGATTATTATGAAAACATGAGGTTTTTTTTCCTCTCCCTGATGTTGAAGTGCATGATGAAACAACTTGTATGAACAAGACAAACAACGACTCATTTCTAAGTAAACTTTGTCAGAAAAATTCATTGATTAGTAAGAATAATTATGGTAGGAATTCCAAGTTAGGGTTCAATAGTGAACTATGCATGGATTGAGAGTCATTACATTACACTAAACAAATATTGCACAAGAAGAAGATGAGTGTAAGAAAAAAACATGTTTTGATAACCATTTGCATAGTTCACTATTGGTGTAGGGATGGGGAAACTATGCTTATCAACTAAAAATACTTCCAAACCTAAAAAAACGACAATAACTTATTCCAATTACTTCTCATACTTACTAGGTTAACCTAAAAAAACGTTCCTTAAAAGCAAACACACAAAAAGGAAACACAATATCAACATCGACAACCTGTAAATCCTTGTGGAAACGAAACACCAAACAAATAAAAAAAAAAGTGAGTTGGATACTTAGATTAGTGGATCCATTATTATCGACGTTGCCTCTGTCTATTGGCATATATAATGTTGCACTCATCCCATAATGGACATTTGCACGTGGGTTTCTTGTTAATCCACTCAGCTCCACACGTGTAGCAAAACTCATGTCCACATCTACAATAATCACACATTTTAATTCAACGACATACAACTAAATATATATATCTTCATATGTTTTGTATAAGAAGATAATACAATACCTGCAATAGATATGGTAGCACCCTGTTGTGAGTTCAACCATATTCTTGCACTTGATACACTGACGCCAATGCTTCCTTTTTGCAAGCGACTTCAGTTTTGCCTCATCAGAAGGTTGACTGTAGTCAGAGCAGGTGACTTTCTCATGCCAAGGAACATTGCAATTGATACAGAAAAGACGATGACATTTGATGCATTTTCTCTTTCCAGTTTCTCTAACACCATGTTCTTTGATCTCACTTTTTGACATTAAAGCAGAGCAACAAGAAAATGGGCAATAAACTTTCTCTGATGGAGGAATGGAAGCTTCTTTTATCATTGAGCTCATCATATCATATAGTTTTGGTTCCAAGAACTTCTTGCAACTCTCGAGTTGAAGCTCAGATTTGCAGCCTTCATGTGGACATTCGGGTAGCTTCCCTTGGTGTAACTTTGCTTCTACATGCTTTCTCATACAGGAAAAACAGTATTTGTGTAGACATTTGTTGATAGGAAACATTTGGGCGATGTAGGTCTGTTCGAAACAGATTGTACATTGTTCCAGTAATGTCTTCCCAGAAGTGTTTTCTGCAGATTTCTTGGCCTGAGAAAGTATTGCATCTTTTGCAAATTGAAAAGCAAACTTTACATTGTTTTGAGTCACAAGGAATGGACTGCAGGAAACAAATTTTCTCTGAATGAGGTTCAGCTGATTAATCAATAACGCAATCCTGTTGTCTGATGAACGCCCTTTACCAGTGAGCTTCATTGCCAAATAGCAGAAAGCATAAGCAGTGTGATTGAGACAAGACAAGATGATACATAGTTCAACAATTCAGATTATAAGCAGTGAAATTCAGACTTACACATTGATAAACCGAATTGCTGTCGCAGAAAACATTAACTCGTTTTAACCCAAGAGTAACAGCAGTATTCAGCGCTTCAATCAAAGCTTTAAGCTCTATCAGATTACCTTCACCTTCGTTTCCACCGAGCAAATAGGGTTTCCGCAACTCAAATACACAACAATCGCTTGTATCACAAATTGCGATTCCAATTCCAGCAAACCGCATTTTGAAATTCATAACCGTTTCATCCCTCACCAAACCCTTGAAATAGATCCTAAAAGCCTCCTCATTTGACGACGGCGACAATCCGTACGGTTTCTGAATGTAATCTCCGGTTCTTCTCCACTCATCATCTGGAACTCCTTTAATCTGGCGAGCGAAGATCTGATCGTGTATCAGACGGTTGAGATTCTCCTGCATGTTCCTCGTTTCCGCTTCGACCAACTCCCGATCACTGCGTTCGCGCTCGAACTTGTCGATTTCTTCAGCGATGAGATGAGAGATGCCGGAAGGGGATTCTGTGACTTCGTTTAGGAGGAGGAATGGCTGGTGTGAGGAAGACGACGACGAAGAGGGTTGAGAGATTGAAGAGACTTTTATCGCCTCTTCCATTTGCAGTTGGAAGGCGAAATCAAGGTCGGAATCGGCCGCGATGGCGTCCGTGAGGTCGCGGCGTTGCTCGGAGAACAGAATGAGAAGTTCATCGTCTTCGACGTCCAAATTTCTCTTCCGGGAAACGGCTGTCGCCATCAGGAGTCCGGAACTTTTTGCAAACGGAACGACAGGTTTGTATTATCTACTTTTGCTTTTTGTACACACTACTATACTATCATATTCTTTAAACAAAATTACATAAATGATCCTTATACTTTTCCAATTATGTATTTTTCTCATATGTTAGACAAGAGTTTGTTATAGGTAATTAAGCGCCAATTGGGGTATTTGTTCCAAGTTGTAATTAAGAGAAATGTATTTTTCTCATTTCCTAATTAGCTATGCAAAAAAAAAAAAAAAGAGTCTTAAATCCATGCTGTCAAACTATATTGCCATTTTGGCATTTGATCATCTGAAATCATTGAAAATAGAACTTGTTCCTCGTGTGCATTAGTAGTATATATGTTCATGATCTTCTCTTTGCTTTGCTCCTTGTTGACACTTTCTTTTGGTTGTCGTTACATAACTGCCGATAGCTAATGCTTTTTGCTCACAAATTCAACATCTGATGTCATCAACACATGAATCGAGCAATAAAACACATATTTGGTTCAGATTCAATGAAACACAATTAGAAACATCAAAGTCGACATTCCAAGGCTTTAACACAAAAATTAAAAAATTTAATCATTTTAAGCTTAAGAGTGATTTAAAAGTTAAAATTAAGGGATAAAAGTAAGCATTTTAAAGTAATTTAGTGATAAAAAAATTAAGCATTAAACACTAAGTTTTAAATTGAAGTATTTATTGACTTATTCACAAATCATTTACTTATTTGTTATTTGTACTTAGCTATATGATGTTATAGGATCATAACTATTATGAGTATCACTAGGTTTTCCAACATAACACATTATTTTGATGTGTGTCTTAAATAACAAGGATTCTAATTGCTTCCGGTTAAAGACATAGCATAACGAGAAATATATTTCGGCTTTTGTTATTTTACCCTATAAATTTATTATACATTATTATGTTATTATGGTTTGGTTATTAATTGTATATCTCTTGTTATTGATAAGCCTTTTTGGAGTTTCACAAATGTTTAATTTATTTGTAAGTTTTTGCTTCCATTTTAAAGACAATATTTTCTTTTAAAGTAAAATGATATTTCTAAATAGACCCAGGGTGTTAGATGTTACTAGAAAACATAAAGAATGATTCATCATGATAGTCCAATATTTGTATTTCTAAAACTAGTTTTTGGTTCAAATTTATTCTAAAATTGCTTCTCGGTTCATTCAAATAGTAACTATGACCTTCCTTAGGGTATCCCAAAACACCAATTTTGATACAAAACTCATTAAATCCAACATGGATTTCAACACCAAATTTGGTGTGACGAGCAATATAACACCAAATTTGATGTTATATTATTCATTAATAACAAATGGTGTTGGAGTTTCATGTGTCATTTTTAGCGATTCAAAAATGATGTTTATACATTTCTAGTTTATCTCAGTTGTTCCAAGTTTAAGTATATATATATATATATATATATATATATATATATATATATATTTCGTGTTAATTTAATTATATAGTTATATTTTAAAAATAATTCTAACATCCTCAAATTTATGTTATAAGATTATACAATAATTAATTTATGATCTAATTCGGATATCAAAAGGGTAAAACGGTTGCCTTTACCGCTACACTTTGTTTGTAGGAATGTACTTCTGGCCCTCCACAATGATACACACAATACAATGATACACACAATGATTGTGTCGATCAATAAATTCTATATACCTTGATTGTCTTCATTAGAACAGTAACCTTACTTCACCTAATTGCAAATTATTCAACTTGGATCATGTTTTATTTGACATTAGAATGTAACCGTACTTCACCTAATTGCAAATTATTCAATTTGGATCATGTTTTATTTGACAAATCAAATAAAACGAAAAGAACTACAAAAAAGAAACATTAATCAAATTACTAAAATAAAAAAAAGCAAAAAAGAGACAAGTCAAAGAGGTCGGAAGTGTTCAAACTTCAAAGTATATTTGGTAACACTTATAAATATCTAAATTACTTTAAAAAAAAAAAGATTAGAAGCTATTATGATAAAGATCATCACGAAAATGACCACCCATTCATGTGCTATAATATATACACAATCATCACGAGAATGACCATTCATTGATGTGCTACAATACACAATGACGTTAATTTTAACCATAGTACATATAACTATTAATTTCAATTAGTTGCAAATTACAAAATTATATTATAAATGATATATAGTACAAAAACTCTAAAAAGAAATTCAAAGAAATTATATTACAAATGATTTTATAGTACACAACCTATATTGATTTTGTGTCTATTCAAACTCTCACTGTTGTTTGTTTTTTTAGAAAAACCTATTCAAACCACATTTTGCTGCGCGTCGCAGCACACGCGCATCACTTTCCCTCTCGCAGCAGTTTGTTTTTTAAAAGGCTTCAGACTACAAAACATCTGCGCGTGTGCTGCGTAGCGCAACACTTGACTTGCATCTTCAAACCTCTTCAGCCTTCACTTTTTTCCAAGTGTTTTTTTTTAGAATTTTGGTATAATTTTTTTTTTAACTTTCATTTTATTTTTTAAAAAAAAAAACTTTGATTTTTTTAAACTTTTATTTACGGATTTGATACAATTTCTTTTTATAGTTTCCACAAATTTTTTTAACTTGATTTATAAAAAAAACTTTGATTTTTTAAATTTTTTTACGTTTTCTGTTAATGATATTTTCAGTTTCGGTTGTATCTTTTTTAACGTGTGTAATTTTTTTTATGAATTTTATAGACATCGTTTGCAATACTTTCTTAATTTTGTTTTATTATTTTCGTTTTTTGTGTGTTTTACAATTAGTTTTTTTCTAGAATAAAACTGTTAGCTTCTTTTATATTTTTTAAGTTTTTTTTTAAAAGTTTTATATTTTTATTTTTTTACATGTTCTTTTTAGCATTCTTTCAATGTTTTAAGACTAAAATTATTAAAATTTCGGTGTTGATAACTATTTTCAGTTTATAAAGTTAGTTTATTTAAATTTCAGCTTACTGCAGCAGTCTGCAGATATTAAAAAACAAACGCACTTCTTATTATAGGCTGTAGTCGTTTGTTCCACCTCTTCTGCTACAGAGAATTGCAGAGGTGATCCGCAGACTCAATGAATTTTCTCGTCGAAAAAACAAACAACACCTTAATTTCACTACATATTAATTAATCTAATAACATCTAAAATATAGAGTTTTAATAGGGACACAATTAATGATCATTTCCTAATTATTAATAAAAATATGACTGATTTGTTAAATAACACAACATATTTTTTGTTAAATAATAAATATATATCCCGTCACATGTAATATTATTTTTATTATCCCTTGTAATACTATACAATCATGTTTAACACAACTTATTTATCAAAAACATTAAAAAAAGAAAAAACATGTCAAGTCGACCAAACCCGACTTTTATCGATTTATTTTGTTGTGACCCGACCCGTTTCATGCTGATACACAACCTCCTCCATATAGGTAGTTAAAGGAGCTTTATTACTCCATTATTAGTCATTAACATCATCCCCTACCCTTCATCATTTCATTCATCCCTTCTCAACACACACAAACATACTCTCTCTCTCTCTCTCATCGGAGAAATATGAGTTCTGTTTGCATATCAAATTGCGTTGATGATGCGAGAATCCCGATCAGAGCCACCTACAAAAACCTCTACAAGTGGCCGGAATCCGACGCCGAGTTCATGAAGAAGACAATGGTAGGATCTAATCAGCACCGTCGAGATGGGCCAGGAGTCGTCGATAGCATCTCATGTAGGCAGTTATATCTCAGGAGTTATACTTTCTCGAAAAAGGAGACTGCCGGAAAAACCAAAAAGTGCTTGGATCGGGTGAGGCAGAAAGTGGTGGCGCATCAGCGGAATAAGAGGAAAGGAGCGGAAGTAGGCCGAGGAAGGCGACGGTGCGTGGTGGTGATGAGGAGAGTGAAGGCCGTCTCGCGCAACGCTTTGTCTGCGGTTTTCAAGAGGCTGTTGTTATTTTGCACTGTTGATAGTAGAATCCGTTAAGAGAATTATTTTGTGAGTGAACATAAAACATTACTTTTTAAATTTGTATTTAGAGATTGACTTTTAAATTAGTACTATTTGATTTGATTTGAGTAAAATGAAAATTAAGAAAATTTAATGAAATAAACCAATGTTAATTAAAGATCATCATTTTATGTATTCGTTCGTGTAGATACAAAAAGAAACAAACATAAAAATAAAAAAATCTTAAACGGAAAAAGAAACAAGATGTTGTCCATGTATATAGAGCTACAAACACAAGATCACAAAGGGACTAATGTTCATGTTTATCTAATTTGAGATGAAAGATGAATTTATGATGTTGTATGATACTTTCAATGACTTGTAATACTGGGTTTTGAATTTATGGGACGAACTTTTTATGCTCGATTTCAAACTTTTGAACATAATAATGAATTTTACAGAGTTTAAAATAGTAAACAGTTGGTATAAATCTTACTTTAGAGTTAGTTCTCGTGTCGAAAAATATTACATAACAATTTTTTGTATTTTTTAAACAGTTACTAATATAACACATTTAATGTTTTGAGGTAGGCACCACCTATTTATTTACCTATTCCCGCCCATGACCTTAAACTTGATATTGAAGCATGCTCGACCAACATAGACCCACGTTAAAGCCCTACCTTCAACGAACACAGGCTTAACCATGAGTGCTTAAAGAGAAAATTTGAAATTTAAAAAACGTGGAGTTTGTATATGAAATCGGACAAACAATCGAAATAATTTGCTTTATTTGAATGAAAACTTTTGTTTATTTTATTTAATGAAGTAGATCTAACCATTATCGAAAAATAGTTTCCAATTATTTGTTTTTTAAATTGTCATACGTGTTTGACAAAACTAACTGGTAGTTGGAAGTTGAAAGCGGGTAACTTCTAGCAGTAATTTTATTGTTTCAAAGCATTCCTTATGTTCATCGAAGAACGTATGAGAAAACAAAGAGTGATTTGGATACCATATGCAAAAGTTATGGAAAAAAAAGAGACAATTTGTTGACAAAATTGAGTTGAGTTTTGCCTAAGACTCGACTCGACCGAGTCGAGTCTGCACAACTGAAAAACGAGCAAAATTGACTCTTAAGCTGTCTAAATTCATCCAAACTTGTTTTATGCATATCCAAATTATTTTGATGATTCAACATGACTACTAACACATAGACATTTCATTGTTATCATTCTAAATCTTGATTTCAACAAGATCCAAATTACATATATGTTGATTCAAAATGTTTAATAATACTTACAAGTTGTTTATTCTCAAGTAAATCACTAATAATTACAAAATGACATAAGAATCTTAATAGTTATGGATCATCAACCCTTGTTTTCATTTTGTGTTAATGGGTTAACATAATTGTAACACCATTTAAAGGGATACTTCTTTTAAGACTTGGTCATTTTGGGACCTCCTAAAGGTGGAATTTGGTAGTGCCCACAACGTGGTGGAGGAAGCACCACGATGTGGCAAGGCTATATAAAACGCGTTGTTTATTGAGCACCACAACATAGCATGGTCTTGGCCACGACGTGGTGGCGTCCAGAGTGCAAACCCAAATTTCTCGTGTTTAAAGCCCTAATTAAGGGATATGATGGCTAGAATTTGCTCACCCTCGACCTCCATCACTCTCCCTTAACCCTAAGAAAACCCTAACCTCCATTAGGGAGACCTCCACCGATGTCTTTAACATCGGGAGGCGAGTTCAATCGAGGCGCAACTTTACTCGCTTATTAAACTCGATCTCCTCTACGCCCGAGGCGGTTGTTGTGATCCCTGATGACGACGCGCAACAGTCCGAGGGGGATCAAGGGGCGATTAAACAGGCCATTGTTTCTGTTCAACCTATCCTGCAACCTTCTTCTGATCTTTCTCCCCCCGAGGGTCCCGGGGGTGCTGAGTTGCATCAAACTCCGCTTAGCGGGGGGGGGGGGGGATTCCTGGGGGTGATCATGGATCTAACGTTTTTGTTCCTGCTTGGAGTTTGTAGAATGAGTCTTGTTTGTCTGTCAACAACAATGTTGTAGAATTTGTTCGCCATGCATTTCCGCCTGTTGTCGTCGCCGATATGGAGGCCATGGGCAGCGCCGTCTGGGCTCATAACATGTCATATGCTGTTGTCGAAGCCATGTTTTATCTGGTCGTTGGTGCCCGTCGTATCCAACCGCTTAATGAGATGGAAATCGCCCATATGGGTTGTGGTGTTCGGGAGGTCGAACTGAAATGTCGGATTGTTGAGCTTGAAAAGGATGTTCATGGCTTTGACCAAAGGTGTGCCCTACTTGCTTTGGAGAAAACCGATGCGGAAGAAATTCGATCTGCCCTGGAAGCGAAAGTAGAATCCTTGACCCAGGCTAATGAGGGGCTCGTGATTCAAAATGAGAGCCTGAAGCATGATGTATGTGACTGTGATAAGCTCCTCGAGGAGGCTCGAGCTGAGGCAGAGGTTATTCGACGCGATAATGACTGGCTCTTACAGGTGGGAGTTGAGCACATTATGGACAAGCTAATTGAGCATCCGGAGTTAACCAATGTTGTTAGTCGAATCAGGTATGTTGCGTTTGTCGCCGGTGAGGAGTCTGGCCGCAGCGGGTTGAAAGCTGAGGTGGATTCCGGTCGTATGATCCCAATGTCAGTGATTCCAGATCCAACCACACTACTAGTGTCAATGATACCCTGCTCACTTTTGCCACTATGGATCATGCTTCTCTCCTGGGCTTGGGGAATTTGGACATGGTGGGTATGCGGCAACTTGGCGCTCTGGATGAAGTTGATGAAGTTCCTGACGGCATGCTAATTGAGGGAGTTAGTGGAGATGGCGGTGATAGTGATGGCAACAACAGTGGCGGCGGCGACAATGGTGATGATGGTGTTGATGGCGATGTTGGTGGTGGTGCGGTGGTGGGAGGTGATGGTGGTGATGACCCAGTTGATTCTTAAGGTACTTTTGTACCGTGTACTGCCCCTCAGGGTGTGAAGGAAATGTATGAAGCTTTTGTTACTTGTTATCGTATGGTTCGGTAGTATTTGATAGTGGTGGCCTTCTTGGCCTTGTTTGTAATAACTCTTTAGTGTTTGGTAATATGAATGGTGTTTGCTTATGCTCGTTGCTGTTATTTTCGCTTGCGATCTGTTGTATCTTATGCACATGGTTTTGTTTTGAACCCCTATTATCGTTTCTTTTCGCTATTCTAGCGTGAGATTTGTAATGTAGCGATGGGCGATTGATTTTAATCGTTGGGCGCAGGGGATACGCCGACTGTTATGCCTGCGGGAGCATTGGATACTGATGTAAACCGTCCCAATGTATTTGGTATAATGTGGCTTGTTCTTAGCCTCGTAAATACACTAAGTATTTTAACTTGATGGCTATTCTAAGCCTTGTAAATACACTAAGTATTTTAATTTGATGGCTATTCTAAGCCTTGTAAATACACTAAGTATTTTAATTTGATGGCTATTATGAGCCTTGTAAATACACTAAGTATTTTAATTTGATGGCTATTCTGAGCCTTGTAAATACACTAAGTATTTTAATTTGATGGCTATTATGAGCATTGTAAATACACTAAGTATTTTTAATTTGAATACATTGAGTATTTTAATAGGATGGCCATTCAAATACACTGAGTATTTTAATGAAACGGCTGTGTTTAGCCTTGTAGATACACCGACTACTTTGTAAAAAGAAAGGTAAAGTCGTATGCCTAAGTGCATTGAGCTTTCGGCGTTGAACGTCCCCCGGGTAATCAGTCCGAGCGGCAGATTAGAAATAGAAATTCCTCATATTTTTGGCGTTCCATGTTCTTGGGATTTGTCTTCCTTCCATCGTTTCGAACGCATATGCGCCACTGTGGTGGGCCTCAATGACCTTGTATGTGATGGGTTTTATACAAACAATCATATGTGTGCATGCAACCCTAGAGTTGGATCTATGTTATCACTATTAGTTATACAACATTATGAACACATAAGGAAACCTAGCATGCTCCTAGTAATTTCGAAATTCACATAGGATAATAGAATACATACTTTTTGTTGTTATATATTAATAACAACAAATTCCTTGAGTTTCCTTAGCTCTTGAAAGCAAGTACCACAAGTGTAGTACCTCTAATGGCTCACAAACACACTTTAGGTGAGAGGATGAATATGAAAGAGAGGAGGAAAATTACTAAGCTCCAAAATTCGTCCCTAGTAGGGTTTTCCCAAGGAGTGGTCGAATTCTAGTGCCTTAGGGTGCTATTTATACTTGAGGCTAGCTAGGGTTTCAAGGTGGAAACCCTAATCCCTTAGCTTAGGGCCTAAGCAAGTCCATAGACTCCTTTCCTTAAGCCCTTGGACGAAAACTCCTAGATCCTTCTAGGATTTTCGTTCAAGCCTTAATAAAGGTGATCCAATAGCCAAAAGTCTCAACTATCAAATAATTACAAAACAGCCCTTGTACTTTTAATTAATTCCTTTAATCCCGAAATTAATTCCTAATTAATTTCTGATTAAATACTAATTAATAATATGATTCCAAATTATTATATTAATCATATAATATAATAAATAAATCATATTTATGCCCTAACCAACCTCTCTCCTCAACTGTCATCCTGTCTAGTCACCCGTGTGAAGGCAACCCAAAAGGACCATGCTCACAATCGGGTCAAGTACATACCAAAATAGTTATGGACTTAGACACTAATCCAACAGTCTCCCACTTGGATAAGTCTAATAACTATTCTGCGTATGACTTCAGAACCTGATCAGCAATCGTAGCTTTCAAAAGCCGCTGTCAACTCTGATCAATAACTTGTCCTTTAGATAAGGGATCGTATATTCCTCCATTCTCAAGATATCGTATAGACACGAGACATGGATTTAAATCATTCTCTCTGTCTATGTATTGTTTCCCGACTTCTGATTCATGACGACTGACAACAGACTACAATTGAACACATCAACTTAGTCCCGGCTTGGCCAAGCGCTTAGGT